GAAAGTCCGCTACTGGTTAGGCTTGTCGCGTTGCCACTTCCAAGCGCCCCTGGGTGCTGATGGGAAGCTAAAACAGTCAGGTACCTGTCACTTCCATAGAGTAAAATCATGCACTTCTATTTTAATAAACACAATCATATCATATATCGTAGGTGCTTCTAGTCATGATTACTAGTTCCTCTTTCACAGTTCCGACGTGCTGATCTCAAAACGTAGTCCGACTTTTGTTTTCTTAAAACAATAAAATTGTGCAAATCATGCTGCTAGAATCTCTAGATTCGAGGCTTCAAGAAAAATGTATGTGCACCTTTGTTGTAATATAGAAATTTGTTTTTTTTAAAGAACAGGTGTCTTGGAACTTACTAAGTTTATACTGATTTAGTGCTCACTGTCTTAATTTCTGTTTTTTTTAGCTTACACTGTCACTATTCATACAGACCCGCTGGATCCCCAACGACCTCTCTGTTTGACCCATCACCCAAAACTGTCTGTATTGGATGCCAACAAAATAGGTTCAATAGTTAAGGTACTCGATAATTGAGCCGTATAATTATTTCACAATTTTGCTTTCATTCACGTTATTTCTCAGGTGAAAACCGTAAATAGGGACTAGACCTACGGCAGACTAGACAGAATGTTTTCCCTCTTATTTGTGGACCTTCCATCCTGCACAAGATTCTTGAGATTGAGACAAAGAAATCTGAAATGACCATTTGCGGCTCATTAGCTGTCATCAGCCGGTCATACCCAAACCCAAGTGGTGCCCCACCCGAAGTCTAAAACTCTAACCATTGGTGACGGCTAATGAGCCAAAATAGTCATTCCAGTCTCCCTTCTCTTTGCTGGCAATGATATCTGCCCAGACTACTGCGGATGCTGGCGGGGCACGAGAAAGTAGACCCAAGACAGAGCGGGACGAGTGAGTTCCGCTAGCGAATGTCAATTCTGGAGATGTTCTATTTAAACCTGCTGTCCTGCAATCAGGAAGATTAAAGCGAGCATTGAAATAAATACTCCTGCACCAAAGTCTTTTAAACTCTCTTGCCTGCTAAGCTTAGTTTTAACCATTTCATTTGTCTTGGGGTTCTCGATTTCATATTTCTTTAAGATACTGATTGACAAGTTTGTTTCCAATTGTGGTAGAGGACCGACACTGCAAAATTAAATCATAACAATGACTTGAAAGCTGAGTTAATCATTGACACTGCAGACGGAACTGAAGTAACCGCCACCCTCAAGCATTTACACGAATGCAGTTTATCAATTTTTGTGCCCGTCCCCGACAACTGAAATTGAACGTGATTTTATTTTCATCTTCCCTCCATCTTTTCTATTTGCATTTTTACTGCACTACTTTATCCAGTCGCACAGTTACCTCTGGTGAAGAAAATCTTAGTCAATATGCGATTCAATTCTTCAATTCTCCTTTTAAAAGTTGGCGTCACCCTATGCCAGGGGTCGGGAACGTATGGCTCGCGAGCCAGGTGTGGCTCTTTTTACGATTGCATCTGGCTCTCTCAGATAACATTGGAATTAGAAATTTCCGATTTTGTGATTTTGATTCCTCAAAAATTAAATTCAGGGGCTTATTATACTCATATTTAATTTAATTCAATCTTAAAATATATTGTATGGCTCTCACTAAAATATATTTCCAAATATTTGCTTTCTTGGTTCTCTGAGTCAAACAGCTTCCAGCCCTCTGCCCTAGGCCGTTCTTAAGCTCTTCTCTGGAATATTTAAGAATTTTGAATACAACTTGGAAGCCCCTGCCTCACTGCCCTATCTCTGCTAGCGTATTTTTAACAGGGAAAGCCATTTGGCAATTTTAACGCATGATTTATTTTTTAGGGGGACCATCTCTCGCTATCGAATTTGCTCTCAAGGACTGTTGTTGTTCGTGCAGAGAGAATATTAAAGGTGATGATTGACAGAATGAGTCATTTTCCCGGCATTTAATCTCTTGATGATTTCATTTCCCATATATTTTGTTTTCTGCAATGATTGTGTCTAAATTGTAAGGCAGACATCTCAAGAAATGTAATTTGGACAAAAAAAAAACTTCCTTGGGAAAACAAGGCAAGTCTTTTCAGTAAATGTTCGACGCTGGATCCCCAGGTCGTCGTCAGACGTGATAAGATGTACAACGAACAATTAAAATTTCAAAAGTGCTTGTATAATTGTATAGTTATCTAATGTGAGCTTTAATTAGCAGACCGCTCCGGCCCTGTCCCAACAACGATGAACACAATGCTCTCCGGCACGGCTGGGTACCCGGGCGACATCACCACCATGGGTCGCTCCCCTGCTGAGCTCCAACACCGACTATACGTAGTACTCGAACGCGTGCAGGAATATGGCTTCCGATTGCAAGCCTTAAGAGTTTGCGCGGGCCGAAACAAATTGTGTCCTTGAGGGGTAATATGCTAAGTGATCTTCCGGCTCACCAGAGTGGTAGGATAGCACTTATCCCGGTCGGCGGTTTGTGCGATCTCATAACGCGCGCGG